ACACACACACACACACACACATTTTTATATCTATAAAAACTGGAATTTCCCCCAAACAGTCTCAGTCTGGGTTTGTGCTCCCCCCCTTGCCCTCGAGGGGATCTGCTTGCTCTGAAGTCACAGAAATCTCCCCAGCTTCGTTAAGACAGCGCTGGGCACAGGCATGGAGCTGAAAACCCACCACAGACCCACACACTGGATTGCACCGAGACCTGCAGAGGTTAACCAGCACCCTCCCAAACCCACAAACATCGGCCCTGGCCAAGCTAGCAGGGACCTGGTGAAATTTCAGGTGACCATTTGCAGTACTGGAGGCTTCACATAAGATGGGAGTGAAGGCGAGGGAGGAAGAGGAAGGAGAGGGTGCAGGAAGTGCAAATTCTCATCATGGGGCACCGGGGCTTTCCCTGGGAAAGGGGACCCCTGCCTCAGGCTGGAACGAGGAAGGGTTTGCTACAAGAATGGCAGAAGAAATCTGAAAGAATAGTATTACTGCAAATCTGTTAATCTGCAGCCCCTGTGGGCTCAGCAGCTCTGCAGGACTGCTGCAGGGGAGAAGGCAGCCAGGGCAGGGGGAGGCCACAGCACCCACGGGGCGCCCAGCACCCATGCCTGCAATAAGGTCTAGGGATAGAGGAGATGAGGGTGGTTGCACCAAAACAGGCTGGTTTGTATTCCCGGGGCTGCTCTGCAGACAGGACTGTCCCTGTGCAGCACAACTTGCCCGTCAGCGTTAAGCGTGCCGAGGAGCCGCTGCGCTGGGAGCAGAGCGGGAAGGCAGGATAAGAGATGGCAGCCTTATCTAGGTCAGCTGCTAGCCTTATTTATTTATTTGAAAACTGCAAAGCCAGTGTTGGGAGGGGGAAGGGGAGAGGGCGGGCGGGCAGGCGGGGACAGTGGGAAGAGACGAGGGAGGGCGGCAGGGCAGGCAGAGGCTCTGCTATGCCTGGATCACGCAGTGACTGGCACTCCAGATGTCAAATGTCACATTATCAGTTCTTTTATTAAAAGCCAGTTAGTGGCAGGCCAAGGAGGGGCAATTACCAGACCCTGCACAGACCACAGCAGGGACCAACCCAGCATCCTCCACCACTCTTTTAAGCTCATTCCTTCAGCATCGTTTCCTACTCCCCACGAAGGCAGAGAAAGGTACTTTTTAACAGTATTCTACATATTTGGAAGCCTGACTCGACTTTCAGACTTGCTTCATTAGGGTGAAGGACCCCAATTAGCTCAGCTATTCACAATACTGAATTTTAATTGCCCTTGGCACTTTACCCCAGGGTCCTCCCACACTGTTCATCATCTTCCTTGAAACCAGACACCCCGAGCCAGACACAATACCTTTGCTGGAACCTAACCAACGCTGCCCGACTGGGCAACGGGAGAAGAAACGTCACTGGTAGATCAATGTAATCTTACATGGCATAACAGAGTTTTGGTTTTTAATTAGAGTTCAAGGAATGTTTTTCCCTGTACGACAAGAAACAAAAAGGCAAGATAAAAGCCTCCGACCTGATGGCAGTGATGCGGTGCCTGGGAGCCAGCCCGACGCCAGCAGAGGTGCAGAGGCACCTGCACTTGCACAAGATCGGTAAGCAAAGCGCAGCAGTAGCACACGAATAAAAACCACACTAGATCATAGGTTGAGAAATTCAACTTTCCTGTGGTCAGGAGGCTACATGCAAAGACAAGGAAGCTGCCTGGAGCCCAGGAGATAATATTCCCTCTCAAGTGGAACAGCCCAGGCAATACAGCTATATAACCCAGAGCAGTCACCAAAACCTAGTCTGATGTGCTGGATGGTGAACACAGTCAATCCAGCACATGGATTAAACTAGTGCCATTAAAACAGAAAAGCTTCAAGAGCAGGAGGAGGCATACCTATTGATTGTGGAGGCTAGGAAACTGTCCAGTCCAACCAGCAGAGGTAGAAGAGCACAGAAAGATATTCTTCTGCAGATATGTATAAATAAATACAAAGCACAGCACAAAGACCAAAGAACAATCATGAGATAAAGTGGGCTGGATTCAAAGTTCTGGCTGTGAGGTTTCAGAGCACAAGTCTAGCGATGCTATAAATGGGGTTTGGGTCAGGAGAAAGGCCCAAGCAGTGGCCCAGCCTGGCCCAGTCCAGGGTCAGGCAAAAGGTGCTACAGAAGGGGAACTGGCAGGGAGAGGAGGGGGGATGCTTAGGTCTGGATCCAGACTACAAAACTGAGCCACTCCTAAAGAGTCTGCTCTTATTTTTCCAGACAGAAACGCAGAGCTGGATTTCTCCACTTTCCTGAATATAATGTACAGACAAATGAAGCAAGAGGAACCCGAGAGGGAAATCCTCACAGCCTTGTCTATGATAGACAGGCAGAAGAGAGGCGTTATCACCGTTTCGGAGCTGAGAGCCAAACTTACAAGATTAGGAGAAAAGCTTTCCGAGGAAGAAGGTATTTTGCAATTCAAAGATGTATCGAATGCTCCCCCATCTTCTTATTTCCTTCCTGATTTTCCTCTGTAGTATTTATAAGCGAGCATCTGCCCCATGAAGGGCCCTGGGAGAGTGTCCGTGCCCCCAGCTGCAGGGATTCTGTAAGGAGCACACAGTGCGCTGGCAGCTTCCCAAGAGCACAATTCGGAAGAGAGGGGAAATTTTTAATTAAGATTCTTAAAAAAAAAAAAGGGGGGAAAAAAAAAGGTCTTGTTTGTCAGAAATTTTCTTCAAAGGGACACAGCAGAAGGGAATTTCCAGGAAGCTTAAAATGATCAAGACCTTTTAGACAGCAGATTTTGTGCTAGGCATTTTAGTACGCATATGAATTTTTTTAAATGCATTCCCCATTCTTCCAGCTTCCCCAGGCTGCAGGAACTGGGCCCAGCATGCAGGAAGGCAGGGCAGTGCCCTGCACATCCTCTGCCCTTGGGATGGGGTGTCCTGTCCCCTCCCTGCTCCAAACCACATCACCTTTGGGTTCTTCTCCAGCTCTCACAGAGCTCTCCCCCCTCCGACCCTGCTGCGGGGAGCAGGCTCCGGAGCTTTCAAACTGCTCACTCCCTGCCAAGATTGCGTTAGAAAAATCCATCACCGGTTTGATACAGGCAAGGAATGAGTTTTACCAGGGTTATTGGGTTTATCCGGAGCCCACTTGGCTCCTTGAGGGCGTAAGAACGGTTCTGTCTAATGTTAAAGGAGAATTTTGATTTAATCAGAGCAAGGCTGGCCAGCCCAATCAGTCACCAGCTTCACAAGTGATACAACAACAAGGCATTTCTTCCCAGTGTTTTCTTCAGTTGTTTAACTGGAATAATAGTTCAAGAAGCTATTAACATCTGAAAACACTTTCAGAGCTACTATGAGAGCTGAACAAACAGTGAAGACATGGAGACATTACCCCTAATTAAAGGCATCCTAGCAAGAACCACCGTTATATGAAGATCTGGGAGGTACGGGGGGATTTCCCATTACTTTTGAGGTACAGGCTGAGCATCTACTCTCAGCCTGTACCAAGGCACTACAGGCCCTACTGTAGGAAGGGATGCTTCTTCTCAACAAGAAATTCCCCTTTTGGCTTGACACACCAAGTCCAGCTTGCTAAACTGGTATAAATATTTGATACCGGAATAGACTCTTTCATTAGCATCTGCAATTGTTTAGTAACTACTGGCATGTACCTTCATTTACAGGGGCTCCAGAAAAGCCTTCACTTCATTTTAATTTAATGTACTTTTACCAAATGAGAATCAACACATTTTTATTCGGTTATTTTTAAATGCTCTGGGGAGAATTAATTATTTTTTGAATTTATGTCCCTAGAAGCACTTGATTACCATCTAGGTATTCTTTTTGAAAGGAAGATTAGATCTCCTGGACAGAAAGAACTGTTACTCACCTTACAGTAACAGCAGTTCGGACAATTTACCCCTCATTTACCCTACACTGCACCCAAATCCTCCTGGCAGCAGCTTCACCGGGGCAGCACCTACCCCCTGCACACACTGCCTGCAAACCAAGGGGGAAAGTCTCTCATCCAGTACCCCCAAGAACAGCAGAGAGAGGAAACAGGTTATGCTGCTCACAGAGACCTTCCACAACTATGGGCAGCAACACACACTGACCGTTCTCAACTCCACCAGATCCCTCAGCGCTGGGTCAACCTGACTCTTCAACCCCTCCAGGGATGGGGACTCCCCCCCTGCCCTGGGCAGCCCATTCCAACGCCCAACAGCCCCTTCTGGAAAGAAATACTTCCTAAGAGCCAGTCTGACCCTGCCCTGGTGCAGCTTGAGGCCATTCCCTCTTGTCCTGTCGCTTGTTCCTTGGGTCAAGAGACTCATCCCCCCTCTCTGCACCCTCCTTTCAGGGAGCTGTAGAGGGTGATGAGGTCTCCCCTCACCCTCCTCCAGACTAAAGAATCTCTGTTCCCTAAATGGGCTCTGAACACCTAGAAGGTGTCCCACTAATGAAATATCAAATGATAAATGCAGGTCCACAACCCAACAGCTTCATCTCCAACAGATCACCTGTCCCATCCCTCTGCACAGCACCCAGCCACGGGTCCAAAAGAAAACACCAACATGCTGGTGAAACTGGACACACGCTCCTCAGCATCAGCATGTACGCAAGCAAAAACCTCTTTCTTAGGCTGTGTTAGATGCCTTATCGAAGGAAACTGCTGCCCAAATCGTTATCAAATAAAAGTTGCTGAGGTTCTCTGATGTTCCAGTGCCTACCTGCTATAGGTTATGAGTAAACAAGCCAAGGAATTTGCCTCCCCTCCTGTCATCTGAAGGAAGAAGGTACTTAATTCCCAGTAGTAGCTTCATTCAGCAACATTTAATGTTACTTTCCTGTGTCATTTCTTACATACTTCTATTTTATTGATGCTATTTGACAGGAACAATACTTTTTAATGGTTTAGCTCATACAGAAGAAAGCATTTTAAGTTAGATAACTGCTGTTGCTGCCAAGGCATTCCCAAAGCTGGAATGAAAAAGCATCACTACTGCCAAGTGCCAACCGCACGGCTTTTAGGAGTATTTTCAGCAAGAGCCTTAGAGCCCCAGCTGAGAAGGTATTCTTCCCTTTCAAGTGCTAAAGGCCCGTTGATATTAACAAGTGCCACACAAATCTACTTAAAGTTGGGCACAAAATCTGCACGAGCACTTAAGTTTTGTCTGAATTGAATAGGGACAGGTTTGCTATTCAAGCCAAATAAGCCATTCATACCAAGAGTAAGCCGATTTGTTCTGAATTTGTGAATCTTTTCCACGTGGAACTCAAAGAGATGAACATCTCTGCTCCAGAAGTTCAGACATGAAAATAAAAATCGAAGTGCTGAGGGTCATTTAAAACTATAATCTGGATGGCACCTCCAACTGATCCCAGAAGTTGTTAGAAGTAATAAACCCCAAATCCTGCATTGCTCTTCTTTTGAGGATCACAACAACCCTAATACATACCACTCAAACTTCTGTTTTTCTTTTACTCTTTCAGTTGATGACCTGCTAAAAGGAGCCAAAGTTGGACCAAATGGAACAATAAAATATGAAGAATTTGTCCACACCATTTGTCTTCCTACAGTTGACTACTAAAATTCAAAGCAAGAGAAGAACCTGAAACTTATTTTGATTTCAGTTTCTTCTAGTTACTGTTTGGACTCAGGAGTCATCATTTCTCTTTAAAAATCCTTATTTTGCCTTCATGATAGTGCTTACGCTTACACAGGTTCCCACCCTATTTCTGAAGAAATGTTGTCACAAAACATGAGCTGTTACTTAAATAAATCAAATGTGACATTCCCTTGTGTAATGTGTGTCATGCTTAAAAAAAAATCAACTCATTTAAAACTGCATTTGAGTCTACAGGTTGCAGTACAAATGATAACTTGTAGTTAGGGTCTCATGGTGACTGTGTTCCAAGAAAACAGCATCACCCAGAACCATTTGATGCTTCCACACACCCAAACCCAGACATGGTTCTTTGTGTAGAAACAGATTCTCCAAGAAGCTCGACTATGTCACAACGGTGGTAAATTTAGCGTAACTATGCACAGCTCCCCAGTATTCCTCAGATCTGTGGTATGATCTGAACCAGATGTTCCCCTGTCACGAAGCTGTCAAGTTAACGGTCCCGCTTGCAGGGTGGCCGCGTCCCTGCTGACTCCCAGAGCGACAGGAGACGAGCAGCCAGCATCTCCCTAGCTCCCCGTCAGTGATGCTCACCAGCTGCAGAGGACAACTCCCGGTCTCTAAACACAGGAACAGCCTAGGATCGCTGTCTCATTCCTCCTCATCTTTCACACCTCCAACAGACAAGATATCTGTGGTGGTGTGCTTCTCGCATTATTTATTAAGGTGCGGTATCTTGCAACGTCAGGTTTCTGTGCAGTTAAAGTGCCCCTGCATTTTGAGGCAGCATGCTGAAAATGCTGTGCTTGGTAAATGTATGTGTTACCAAGTTCTGGGCTAGCTGCCCAGAACATACTCCTAGAGACAGCCTGGCAGGGAAAAAACAGAGGCCATGAAAATGCAGCTTCTCTACAACAGGAAGAAACCCACCTCATCTCTCTTGACTTTAGACCAATGAAAACCAACGTGACCCACGGCAGTCGTTACTGATCTTATTCCATTTACCTCTTGGCAGCCCTAGCTGAGGTCCTCAGACTGACATGACATTTAGAACAACGTGCAGCAGATTCTCTGGAGTCAACTGTAAATTTGCAGCGACCTGTGAAGTTCGCTGGAAGACCGTGTGCTCCTGCCACCTCTGCTGGGGCTTCTACCCACAGGCCCCCATATCCCCTCATTCCATCCCTGCCTCTCCTTCCTTTTCTTAATTCTTAATCTTAATTCTCAATCTTTATTGCTGAAACAACTCTCTGCTCAATTTTTAATTTGCAATTAAATCATTACAGCCATGGCAGATACAATGCATTTATCCCCTACTGAGGCACCCAGCACAGCCTGAACACTGCGGACTAAGGCCACCACCAAAACCATCCCACATTGCCATAACACTTGGAATCAAACAGAACTGCAGTCAGCACAAACTTGGTTATAAACTGAAAAAAACAAAGCATGAGGCAACCTTAACCCTTGCAGATCAGTAACAGTGTTTCTTGAAGGGTAAGGCTGGCATTATTCTCATGGAATATTATTACATGGGGGTAAAAAAAGCACAGATTAAATGACATGCTGAATGCTATACAAGAAATGGAAGTGGATCCAGGACGTATCTTATTTAAGACAAATGGCAGTTTTGTGCCCAACCTCCTGATTCAGAGCCAAGCTGCAGAGCCTGCAGTTCTCACAAGGCAGCAGTCCCAGACTAACCCAGTAAGCTCAGATTTGGATCCTGACTCACCAAGATACTAACCAAAGGCCCTCTGAACAGTGAAGGATCATGCTTCATAGGGAAATGAACTCTGCTCGATGTGTAACTGCCACACCTTGTGTCTGCCTGCCACATCCCTCAATTCTTATATGAGCTCTTCCTACTCTACAGACAGAAAACAAAACAAAAAGCCCCTTGTTCTGTGAAAATTAGTTACAAGCAGTTCAACACTCAGATAACACTCCAGAAAAACATTATACAGTGAAATAGTGATAGGATCCACTATAAAAAACAAGAACAGGTTCCAACTAACAGGAGAAGATAGGATTTCTCCTGTAACTCTCTTGTGAGGGTTCACAGTTAACCTCAATGTTTGGACAAAAAAAACACCTACCTTGATGCCAAGCCCTTCCGCACTCATGCCTTTCCTTCTGGAGGTCTGCCCACAGCATGCAGTTCGATTTCTGCCCCCCCTAGAGCTCTTCCAGACCTTTGCTACAGAAGTACCAGAGATGAAGGCGAGCAAAAAACCTCGGCTGCTTTGAGCATGAGCATAATTAGCTTATGAAACAAGGAGTTCATTAGAAGCATTTGTTTCCAATATGCATCAATAGCCAAATTACAAATGATCCAATACACAGCTTAATTCTTCCCTATTGACCAGAACAGTTGATTAACAAATCCTTTCAGCTGCAGACAATATAAAAGCTTGTATGTCATGGGGATTGATCAGCTCAAAATCACTGTGGATTACTCCAGAATGCATCTGTATCATAACAGGCATTACCACCCTCTCTGGGTGGGTAAACATTACCCAAATAAAAGCCAGCAGAAAGGAACCGCACTTCACACACACTCACAAAACAAAGCAGCACTGTTAGAGCTTGGGCAGACAAGTGTGAGACACTCCATGCCACAAAACATTCAGAAGCAAAGCATTCCTGTTCAAAAGGGACCTCTGCAACTCTGAGTTCACAGAAAACACCCTCCACCCCCCCACCCCCCCCTTTTTTTTCCCCCCAGGAAACACAAGGTAACTGAATGCTTTTTATTACATCTAAAGATTTCTACATAAACAGGTAACATTCAATAGGTAAACCATTTTTTTTCCAATGCATATAATAAATATTTTCACTTGGTACTTTTATACAAACTGACATTGGTCTACTATACATTTTTAAAAGTCATTTACTGGTTTGGCATGCCGTATGGAAACTAAGAGAAAGTTTTAAGGCAATGAATGACAGATTTAAATTCATGGAATTAATGGTAATTTTAATATTCTGCTTATATACATTTTTCCCTTTGTTAATTAAAACAATTAACAGCAGCACTTTTGGGGACCACCAGCAATTTTCCCTTGTTAGAAATCTAAGCTCTGTTTAAAAAAAAAAAAAAAAAAAAAAAACAAAAAGAAAAACAGTTACACTGACAAAACAAAATCTTTTCTATTTAAAATGTGCTTAAAACCCTGAAATGTTAATCTGCAACAAAGAATTAATTTTCAAAACGTTCTCCTCACAGTCCTTAGCTCTGCGTTTGGAGGCAGGTCCAAGAGAGTCCAATGAAAATCTATCAGTTATCCCGTCCTTGAAAGACTTATTGAATCCTGGCCATGGAGAGGAAAAGGGCAAGCCTGGAACTGCTGTCACATCGATCATTACAAAAGTGCTACAAAGTTTTTAACGCATGGCATCGGTTATAGTTCAGTGTGGTTTTTCATTTTCTAAAGGATGCATCAGTGACACCCTCAAGAGCGATTCACAGCCACTTCCACCCTGCTCTGCCAACAGCTACTCACCCCCCTGTACACGCAAACACATGCCCACACCCCACTCCTCCAGTGGTAGAATTTGAGGACAAGAGACCACTGGCCTAAGGATACTGAAACTCTGCAGTCTGCAGCGAAGGGAGCAGCACCACAAGCCAGGCCACCCTGGGTTGCTTTACTGCTGCTTTGATAAAACGCGAACTAATGGAGATTGAGTTTTGGAGTGACGTTTGCAGGGAATTTGTTGAGAACTCAGACTGAGACTTCTACCAAGCAATGTTAACTGTGGTCAGAGGCACAGAGAATTATCAGCTATAGAGAACACCCTAGCATGAAACAGGAATACTCACAAAGCATATGGGATTAATACCACAAAGGAGGATTTCAGAACATTTCTGTCCCTTCTTTGTAGAGCAATGAGATTTAAAAAAATGACAACAGTGAACTGAACAGCCTTCCTTCCCTTCAGGGTAACTCATGAGGAAACAGAAGACGTCATCAGCTGACCTCACTTTCCAAAAGCTAAGATAGGCATAAAGATGCCAGATTCTGTGTTACCAGACACTCGCCACATTTCATTTTATATGTGAATTAACAAGATTTTAATACCATTGTCAAAAGTGACATAAACTGCTCTTCAGGTCATCTTTAACAACACAGTCAATGGAAATGTTGCCACGATCGTCAGTAAAACAGCCACAAACTCTCCCGAATTTCTCGTAGGTATTTCAGAAGCTGGGGACACACACGCTCCCAGTTACACTGATGGCAGTCGTACTCCAGATTTACAAACTGTATTATAGCAAAGCATATGCTCTGAAGTTACCAGGTTAGTATGACTAAAATGTATGAGATATAATCCTACTGTAGGTTTAATCACTTCAAAATCAGACTGAGTTTAAAAAATAAGTATTTCCCATTTTCTATCCTTTTATTTATTTTTTTAACTGACATTTAATAAATTATAAAATTGGTGTATGGTGAAATATATATATCAGCCAGATATGTATGAAATACACATGCATGGGAAAAACTATTTAACTCACTTAACTCACACACAGAGATCTATAAATACATATATACACACACATATACATATAAACACAAACATTTGTTTTCAAAATTCAAGTCAACTATTTAGTGGCAGAGGGATGCTGTAAAAACACTAAAAACGATTTTGATGCCACATAATGTGAACCTTTCAAATAACCATACGACTGATCATACAGCAATACCTAATGCTACTTGGATTAAAGATTTTTTTTCTTTTTTTTCCTTTTTTTCCTTTTTTTTTTTTCTTTTTTAATCAATGCAAGATTTTGAGACAACTTCATAGGCAAAAGGTGGCCCTTGTCAATGCTCAAAGCAACTAACTGCAATCAACAGTTTTGGACATTAAAAATTCAGACAAGAATCTGCTAATTTTAGTATTCCTTATCTCTCTTTCCTGATAAACCTGTTACCTGCACTTTCAACGAGTTATAAAAATATTTTTCACACCAGAGGAAATACTTACTCTCTCTGACATGGACTTTGGGACACAAGAGAATCACTTCCTTCCCTCCCCCTTCTCTTACTTTAAAGAATCTCCTGAAAAACTGCATTCCAGCTATTTACACATTTCACTCTTAATAAGAACGGATCAGACCAAATGACCCATCAGTTCTAAAAAAAGATTTTCTTCTATCATGCACAACTTTAA